ACCTCAATGACCTTCTCTACCACTCGTTGCTCAGTGACTATCTTACCCTCACCGGTGCCATAGCCAAAGCTATCCACCCCCTGACTAGCTAGTTGCTCCTTGAGCCGTTTGATTTCATCTTGAAATTCGCGCAGCATAGCATCTTTCGGGTCCTCGTTGATTTTTGGCTTGTTCTTGATGTTCTTTGCACGATTTGCATACCGGAGTGTGGAAATGGTCTCATCGAAGTTATAGCCCGCCGGACCGCAATTGGCACACATCACAGTCTTTGTGTTTCCGCCCAATGAATCTTGTAGTAGACGAGTCAACTTCGAATCACGATATGGAATATGCTGCGACTTACCATCTACTAGAGCCGAAATGACGTTCCCTAGTGCAGACAGGGACAGGTTTATCTTTGTTGCTTCCTTCAGCCGATCGCCGGTGGCCCCTGTTTTCGCTTGACGTTCCGAGCCAGCCAGGTCAACGAGATTTAATTTGCCCACGTGTATGTGCTCACCGCGTTTTTCATCCACCTCTGCGCACTCCACGATGATGGTGAAGATGGCGTGAGATCTCGAAGAACCAGCATTCATAAGCGTCGCGCCCACTGATCTATTCTTCTTGCCTGCCTGCATTACTTGATCAATTTCATGCGATGATTTCACCACAAACGAGGTAAGATCCTTCACATAAACGCCAGAGTCTACATTTTCTTTTAAATCTAATCGGTTCTTCGGTTCTTTTGACCTATGTAGTACTTGCACTACGTTGAGACATAGACTAGTCATTAGTTGTTGGTGAAATTGTCAGACACGCGCGGAAACAAAAGATCACGAATCTCTTCATTGTAAATTTCGAGGTAGGATGCACGCACAAGGAAGTGCTGATGCTCCTCAGCAACAGCAACCTTATCGAAGATATGTTGGAAAGCGTTGGGAATAATACCACGGAGTTCAGGTGGGTCGGGGACGCCTTCCATGGTGAAAGTTTTTCCTGCCCCCGTCTGACCGTATGCGAATATAGTTCCGTTGTAACCATTAAGCACAGCCTCGACAACCGTAGCACCGCACTTGTCGTAGATGGACTTCTGTGTACAATTTGCTGCAAAAACCGCATCAAAAGTAAATGATTTGGGTGGGTCGGACGCATCGGCCTTCGGGTTGGTACAAGTAATGGTGCCCCGCGCCTCCTCGGCTACAGTTGTCGCGACATGCCCATCTTGCTGCTCCTTTCGAGAGAGCGGACGCACTCGAACGACTACCTTGACGCTCTCACTGGGCATATTTCGCTCACACGTCCGGACAGGATTAGTAATCACAATTATGAATCAAG